ATTTGCTAAAATTTCATATATATATATACTGTTTCCTTTTAATTTTAACCAACCACTCAAGAGTTGTACCTATCAGTAATCTCAAGTGACCTAAAACTTCAAGTAGTAAGTCATTATTAGCATTCTTAAATAAGTAATTATGTACTTTCAATAAGTAAGTGCTAGGAACATGAAAACAAAGTATTGTTATGTGGTGTGTCCAATCATCTGGTTGATAGTAGTTGTAGTTGTTATGTGCCGTGGAGTTGGTTCCGACTCATAGCGGCCCTGTACAAGGTTTCCGTGGCTGTAAATCTTTACGGGAGCAGAAAGCCTCATCTTTCTCCCATGGAACAGCTGGTAGTTTCGAACTGCTGACCTTAAGGTTAGCAGCCCAATTCGTAACCACTACGCTACCAGAGCTCTTTTTTTTTTCCTTTGGAGCGACACCCGGGAGTAGGTCTTCCTTATGCCACACTGATCGCAGGACCCGAATTTGGTGCATAGAGTCACATATTAATTGGGTGCTGTTGTTACAACTGATTGATTATTTGCAGCCTCTGCTTCTCAGTCTTTCTTCTGATAAAGGGGATGTTGTTATTATTAAGTGCCATCAAGTTGGTTCCAACTCATAGTGACCTTTTATAGGGTTTCTGAGGAACAGCTGGCGAGTGAATTGCTGACCCTGGTTTCAAACCAGTCCAGTGCTTATCCCACAATGCCACACTAGGACTCCCTTGTTTTTTGATAACTGTAGTTAATGGACAAAGAGATAGCCTTTTTAAGACATTGCTCTACCTTTTTATAATTTAGATTTGCTTTCAGGAGACCCTATAGAACATACATTTTGACATGTCCTTTTAATTCTACTCCTTGGGAGCTAGTCACATAAATGTACAACTAAAAGATGACCAGATGCTTTCCTTTAGTGATGCATAAGGATCCATTCAGCAGCTTGTCTGACACCTTCACTGGCAGGATATTAAGGAAAAATTGTAGTCTGTACGCTTACAAGCTTCTTTACCTTATTTAGCAAATAACCTTCCCACCTTTTTCTTTTTAAAGTATATATATATGTTGCTGTTGTTAAGTGCCATCAAGTTAATTCCAACCCATAGCCACCCTGTACAGGATTTCCAAGGCATAGCTGGTAAACTTGAACTGCTAACCTTGTAGTTATATATATATGTTGTTGTTGTTGTCAGGTGCCATCGAGTCGGAACCGACTCATAGCGACCTTATGCACAGCAGAACAAAACACTGCCCAATCCTGGGCCAACCTCACAATTGAGCTCATTGATGCTGCCACTTGGCCAATCCATCTCACCAGGGGTCTTCCTCTTTTTCTCTGACCCTCCACCTTACCTAACATGATCTCCTTCTCCAGCGACTGGTCCCTCCTGACAATATGTCTGAAGTATATACTTATCCTATTTCTCCACCTGTTTCCCAGACCTGAACTGGTTCTTTTCCTCATTTCTTGCTTGGGCTGGCCCCAACTGCTGCCATTTCTGGCACCTTAAGGCATTTGTTACCCATACCCTCCTTTGTCTCTTCAGTGAAGTGAGACAGGATTGGCAGTTTTTAAAATGAACTCTGGGAAATGCCTCCTCCCTTCCCTGTTCAAAATCAGACAAGTTCATAGGCAATATATTCCCTATCCAAAATTAGTTAAGCCTGGCTCCAGATTCCTAGACACATAAGCAGACCACTGTTCCTTTTCCTAGCTCAGCCCTCTCTGGAGAAGCCACCCCAAATCCTTTCCTGAGTTCCTGTGCAAGATCAATGTATTCATGGAGGTAACCTCCATGGAGAGAAGTTGAGGAAGCTATTTCCAGACTCCCACTATGGCTTTAGTCCAAATGTTGTGAAGAACCGCCAGACATTCCTTCAGTAATTTGCATAAAATAGAACAACACCTGGGAGTACTGAGACTTCTTTCTTCCCCCTTTGCCACCATTCATGAAAGGAATAGTTTCCTTTATTCCTCTGGAATGTTCTGTGAGTTCTCCTAACATCACTGGTTAGCTGTTTCCTACCTCCTTGTGGTATGCAGCTATGCTCTGTGGCACTTGCTCTGTCATTCTTGCCAATTTTCAGCAAAATGCCTACAAAAATCTTATTAATCATTGTTCAAGAAAGTTAGTAACCTCTAATCTCTTTTGTTTGTTCAGTGCTTTATGGTTTATAAAGAGCTTTGTTATAATCATTTATTCTTGACCACCATCACTCGCAATAGGTTGTAGCTTCCTCCATTTAGAATTGAGAAAGTGGAAGCTGGAAAGGGAGAAGTACAGTAACTGCCACCCACTCAACTGACAGCAGAGTTGTGGGATGGACTTCTGAACCCAACGTCTTTCTGCTGCATCACAGCTGTCTTTTTCTTGCCCTTTAAGGAATATGGTTTTGTTGTGCTGAGCATGCTTGCTTTCTCCCGCATGGAGTTGAAAACCCCCCCACCTCAGGCATTCCCACTTCAGCAGTTCCCTGATGGCACACGGACACTGTCTCCTGTCAAGTCTTTTATTTATCAAATAAGTCCACCCATTTGTGAAACTGGGTGTTTCTGTTTTTGATTCTGTTTTTTTCTGTTCAACTGGCTCTCTGATGAATCCCTCAAACTGACTGGCTTTTTTTCTTGGATGATTCAAACTTGTTTTCAAATTGGGGGTCTGAGCTATTTGGACCAGAATCACTCAGAGAACTTACTAAAAATGCATATTTCAAGTCCCACCTACTTGAGAGTAAATCTCTGTGAACTTAATTACACTACTCCGATAATTTTATGAACCCCCAAGTTGGAGAGTTGCTCTACAATATCTATATAATATGCTGTCATTTTTGTTTGGCTCGCTCTCTGATTTTACTTCACATTTCTGTCCGCTTACTTGAACCCTCACCAGAACTCAGCATCTCTTTCCCAAGTTTAGGAGCCACGAGACCAGGGGCCAACTGTGAAGCAG